GGGTGAGGATAGCCGCGGTGGATAGACCGAGGCGAATACTGCGCAAGTCCTCCGTTATTTGTCACTCATACCGAAGTTAGAGTTCGCTTGCTTGCAATTGTCACCTCTTCGCTGCACTTGGTCTCTCCGGCATCAAGCTCGTCGCATGCGACTGAGCAACTGAAAAGAAATTTCGATTGTTTCTGGTCATGCGGCCTTGACTTCCTGTAGCCTGCACAGAATATTATGAGTTTGACGCCATGCAGGGAACGGAGAGGGTCGAGGCAATTTAGGATCGATGGCGTCTCAAGCTAGAGGGCATTTAAACGGATGTCAAAATATACTTAATACGGCAGACATTGTCCCAGTACCTTTGGTTCAAGTCGCTGATTACAGACTACTGTTGTGGTCCTTCCCCATTTATTATGCCAACGTTCAACACAGGTATGATACACTCCTCCAGTCCCTAATCAAGACAGTTCCACGCCTCAGATCCACTCGCTGGCAAAAACTCAACACAGTCCGGCAGCTTGGGTCTTCGTTTGCGAGATAAAAATCTAGTTAATGGGTCAGGCAATGACTCGAGGGGTGCATGGGAAGGTCGTACCATGGGAAGCCCATTCTGAATCGTGACTGTGAGGCCGGAGCTCTGGACAACCGAAGTGACACAGGTGAATATCCTGGATGCATGTGTCAGACGGGAATCTTCCGAACAACGTGAAGAAAAAGACGAACTCAACAACAACTTGATTGGCAGGGAAACCAGATGTAGTTATAAGCCAATTCGCCGATCCCGACCCGCTTCCGCGCTAATCCCGGAACGTCACTTCATACTAACACCTCTCCAGACACCGCGAGGCTTACGTTGGTTAAAATGGTCAGCACGCCGCCGCGAACGACCGCGAGATCTTGCGCTTGTTGCTGAGGCCGGGTAGACGGGGCGGTGAGGAAGTCGCTGGTCGCCGCCAGATATTTCCGCAGTTTGTTAAGCTTCACAATACGCCGGTACGTGGGAGTAGCGTTGGTGGAATAGTCCGTGTACAGCCAAAGAGCCTCACGATTGAACTGCGACTCAGTCAGTGACAGATTTGCATGATTGGATGTGAACTTGCTGGATCGCCAGGACCGTCCTTGCCGACGTCTTGCTCGAACCCGTAGTATAATATCGGGATGCCTTCGAACTGGAAGGTCGTGACGAGCGCGTTGAACGTGAGGCTGAGGTCGTCTGTGAGGCTCCAGAGCCGCGATTGATCATGGTTCTCAGTGAACGTCCCAAGCACAGTCGGATCCTTGTTCAACATGCCGCGTGAGCTGGGTGATCTCGCCGCAGTTGATGGACTCACAACGAAATTCGTCTGGGTTTCAAACATGAAGAAGGCGACCTTGTTGATGTCGCGCCACGAAGAGTTGCCAGAGAACGACTCCTGGATCCCGTACATCATGGGGAAAGACAGGACAGAATCTATGCCAGCGCTTTGATAGCTCGCGAGGTAACTAGGACGGAGAGTCAGCTTGTAATACCAGTAGACGTGAAGATGAGATGTGGTTTTACTCACCCTACATCATCGTCGGAGACCTCCGCGGTACAAAAGACCCCGGATGCGACACAGAACCCTTTGACAAAATCTTGATCCATATCTCTGGCCGCTAGAATCGAAGTTATTAGCATAATTTCAAGGCGGGGATCAAAGGCTAACCGTCAATTCGGAAGCCGTCAATGCTGAACTTCTTGACAAACTGGGGAACCCAGCCGTACAAGACTTGGCGGACAGCATCTGTTTCTGTCGCCAGATCCATTAGCGGGACACCGTGCGCGGCGTCCGTCCAAAACCAGCTTTCATCGAAAAGGCCGTTAGGTTGAGGTGGACGGACGCATCGGAATCGAACGTACCAGACCCGTTCGCTCGTGCGATCCCCCCACACGATATCGCACGGGGGATGGAAGTTCGCGGTCTGCTTAAAGAGCAGCGGGCCCTCGTCTGCGGCGAGCTGGTCCGGGCTTATGTCGCTGGATCGAGAAGCCAGATGGTTGAGAGCAAGATCGACCATGAGATACATTCCCCGCGCATGCAGGGCGGAGGATAGGGCGAGGAGGGATGCCTCGTCCCCAAAATGGGGGTTGAGGCGCGTCGGGTCGGTCGACCAGTAGCCTACAGCCCCGCGGCGCGCGTGAGTATACTGAGAAAGTAGCAGGAGAATGAAACGCACCGTGGTAGCCTTCGCCTTCGCCACCCGTATTCTCCAAGTTCAAACCCACGGGACTGATCCAAATAGCGTCGAAGCCCATGCCCTGAATATAGTCGAGCTTGCTCAGAATAGTGGCATGGGTGCCGCCGCAGTATCTTCAGGTGCCGTCAAGGGAGCAAACATAGGTTGTAATAGAATACCACGCACAGTTGGGCTCCAGGATCACAAGCTGGCCTAGTTCCGTTCGGCGGGGCGAATCTGTCGGTGAGGAGTCTGCGCGAGGTATCGGTAAATGCAAAACAGCCCCGACCCATAAATACGCACTGGTATATGGACCTCGATCGCCACTGATCCTTCGTCGCTGCCCAGCTGGAGCTCGCCAGGAAACAGCCAAGAGTCAAACTAAGAGCGAGGCGAGTCATCGCGTCGCGGAATCATGGCCGTAAACCGGATACTTTAAGCTGTTCCCATCGTGAAATTCATGCGATAAAACGCCCGGCTGATCAGCACGTCATTGAGTGGGATCTCTAGAGATGAGTCTCAGTACCAGCCTGCTACGACATCCCACCATGGCGTGACAGTCAGGGACCTAATCAGGAAGTTAGCCGCACATGGACACCGAGGCACGGGGCTAGTGAGCAGTGAGCATGATTGGATCGGTAATAATGTGCGGAAGAACACCTGTTCAACCACGACATAATAGGTTGAAAACGGGCAGCATGGCTCGGCGCAGGAGGGTAGTGGCTGCTCCTAGTGCGGCCGTATTGACCATATGAATGCCGTGACATAATGCCCGGAATTAGTTCGATGGGACCTTTCGGAATGCTGTCCGAAGTCAAACTCACCGCTCACCGTGAGAGATCTCACAATTTGAACCGTTTACCATGAGAAGCCGCGCGTGGGTTGGGCGGCCCGACTAGCGCCGGTTACTTTCAGCCATGTATGATATCACCGGTCAAGCCAGGAGGTGCAGGTCAGCATGTCACCCGAAGAGCTATAATTACTCACCCCCAGTGAAACTGGTTAGAGTCTAGACTCCAGGCTCGGTTTCGTTGGCTGCCAGGTTTTTTTGTTCATCCGCACCCAAAATTCTTGCTCGTATGAGTGAGTCCATTTCGGTAGGAGGAAGACCTAGTGGCGAAGGGAGTGGTATCTGCGTACAGTGTGGGGGTCCCTGGTTCCAAGATTCTTATCATCATTTGAGCGTCTTGAATTGTTGTTTGGATCCTGCCCTGACTAATTTTGATCCACAAACTGGGGTTCATCTCAGTACGGAAAAGATCTAGTGGTGAAGGCATCGCACTTGCTTCCGCTGCGTAGGCAAATGCACTGCGGCAAGAGTTCCTGGTTCAAACCCAGGCTAAGCCGTAAGGCAGCTGCTAATTCTTTTTTTTGGTCCCTCTCTGCATTGAATTCCTGCTCGTGAAGGCGGATTTATTTCTGGATTTAAGGGAACTAGTGGCGAAAGGCCTCGCACCTGTTCCCACTGTCGGGTCAAAGCGCAGCTTACGGCAGGGCTTAAATTCCTGGTTTGGCTACAGGCTAGGTCATCGTTGAGTGTCTTGAATCTCCTGGATTCCGCACTGCTTGATTTTCTTAATGAAATCGGGTTAATTTGGGTCCTATTGGTGAAAGAAATCGCGTTAAATCGCAGTCGCGATACCTTTCACTAATAGGTCCCTTGCTTACCGAAATGAACCGCATTATATCCTCAAAATCACAGGGCGAGACTCCAAAGGAAAGATACCTACCGAAAAGCATTCAGGACCTAGCCTGGAGTCGAACCAGGAATTCCTGCCGTGTAAGTATGTACCTCGGAGACTGCCCATAATGTGAGGTGGTGTCAAGCGTAGTACGGCAAGAGTTCCTGGTTCGACTCCAGGCTATGCCTTACTCGCCGGGTTCATTTTCATTTGGTCGCCTCGCTCTGTGATTCTGAGAATAAAATGGGGTTCATTGGTTTAGCAAAGAGACCCAGTGGCGGAAGAAATCGCACCTGCCTACAGTGAGAGCTGTTTTGAATGCACAGCAGGAATTCCCGGCTCGACTCCAGGCTAGGTCATATTTGGTGGGTCGAGTCTTTTGGATTCCGCCCTGTCTGATTTCGATCATAAAATAGGGTTCGTTGTGGAAGGAAAGAGACCTAGTGGTGAAAGGAATCATACCTGTTCACACTTTACAAGACCGTTAGTGTTGAATAAAGGCAGGATATCCTGGTTCAAGTCCAGGCTAGGTCCTGAATACCTTGCGGGGGTATCTGTTCTTTTGAGCCCCGCCTTGTGATTTGACAATGAAGCGGGGGGGTCGTTTCTGTAGGGAGAACTAGTGGTGAAGGAGTTACACCTGCTTCCAGTGATGGCCACTTAATGCAAGCATAATGCGGCAGGGGTCCTTGGTTCGACTCCAGGCTACGTCTTTGTGCTGGAGAATATTTTGCAGTCCTCGAGCTGTGCTTGATGATAGGACGGGATTAACGCGGGGAGGAAGAGACCTAGTGGCGAAATGAGTCACGCATGCTTCCAGTGATGATCCCTCGATCGATACGAGCATAATATCCTGGTTCGAGTCCAGGCTAGGTCTTACTCGTCGGGTTCATTTCCTTTTAGACGCCTCTTCCTGTAATTTGACAATGACACAGCGTCTCAGTCGGCGGGAAAGAGACCTAGTGGCGAAGGCAATCGCACCCGCACGCATTAGACTGCACTTCGAGGTGCTTACACAGCCGAAGTCCCTGGTTCGAATGTAGGCTAGGTCTTGGACTTTGGGAATCGTGCCTTTTTGCAGTCCTCAACCTGTGTTCGACGATAGAACGGGATTAATGAGGGGAAGAAGGAGACCTAGTGGCGAAACTCATCGTGCCTGCTTCCAGTAATGATCGCTTGATACAAGCATAATACGGCCGGAGATCCTGGTTCGACTCCAGGCTAGGTCTCAGCGTTGGGAATCGTGTCTTTTTGCAGTCCTCACTCTGTGATTTTGATAACAAAGTGCTGTTCGTGGTGGTAGGAAAGAGACCTAGTGGCGAAGGCATCGCACCTGCTCATAATTCAATGATACCCGGTGTCGCGTACACAGCAGGAATTCCTGGTTCGAATCCAGGCTAGGTCTTAGGTCTTGGACTGTGCGAATCCCGTCTTTTTGCAGTCCTTGCGTTCTGGCTTTGTCAACGAAGTCGGGTTCATTTCAGTAGGAAGTAGACCTAGTGGTGAAAGAAATCACACCTGCTTCCGCTGTAGAGGCAACTTGCGCCGTGCTGCGGCAGAAGTCCCTGGTTCGACTCCAGGCTAGGTCTTAGGCTGTTTGAGGTTCATTTCCTTTTGGACGCTGCGCTCTGTGAATTTGATAATAAAATGGTGTCCATGGTAGTAGGAAAAAGACCTAGTAGCGAAGGCCTCGCACCTGCTCATAGTACATGTTTCATCACGTTGGAGTCTGCTTCAACGCAGGAATCCCTGGTTCGACTCCAGGCTAGGTCTTGTACGAGATTCAGTTGTCCTTTGCAGTCCTCGCTCTGTGACCTTGATAATAAAATCAGGTTCATGGTGGTATGAAAGAGATCTCGTGGCGAAAGGCAACGCGTCTGCTTCCGCTGTGGCAAACTTTGACGTACTGCGGCAGGAGTCCCTGGTTCGAATCCAGGCTAGGTCGTAAGAGCTGTCGGATGAAGCGTTTTCTTCCCGGTGTCGTCCTTAGGTTCATAACCATTTCCCCCCTCTCTTCGTCTTGTCCTAGTAGACCTCGCAGAACTTCGCAGTCTACTTAACCTTCAACCACAGTAAATTGACGCGGGCGATCGACGTCGCGTGGCTGTGCACTGCGTGTTTGTTAGCCGAACACTGACAGACACGTCTTCCGTACGGCTTCCCCTCCTGCTCTCCCCGCGCGCGTCTCGACTCTCATCCCACCCGTAGCCTTGCTGCACATCGACTGCGGTGCGCGCGTTTTCTTGAGATCAGCCTCGGGAAGACTGATCGACGGACTGGGTCAGCGTCTAGAATCTTGCGCCTCCTGCCCATCGCCAACGCGGGCGCCGCCAGCACTTGAGTGAGCCATCGAATTGATTTTCTTCCGTCGGTCGTCAAAGCGATCTGTCGACTTCGGGCTCCATGGCCACAAGTTCGCCTACCCTCTCCCCTTTTTTTCTGGTCGTTCTTTTCCTGTCCCACTCCTGTCTCTCGTGCTCTGCTCTAACCTCAGCCTCTAGGGGCTCTCATGCGCGGGAATGGATCGTTTACGAAAGGGATTCGAAGTGTGCTAGCCGAAGGGATAACTGGGAGGGATGCTGCGCCGCCGCCGCTCGCTCGCGGCGCTGCTCGCGTCGTCGTCGTCGGCCGCGTCCAGGGGGAGGGCGTGGAGGACGACGTCCCCCCGCTCCCGCTCGGGCTCACGTGCGCGAGCCTGCGCGTACGCGCGCAGACCAACGGGGTGCAGGTGCAGAAGCACGTCAACGGGCGCGCAGTCGGAAGTACGCCGAACGGAAAGAGCCGAGAGAAAGAGAAGGACAAGGACAAAGGCCTCATCCGGCGCATCTCCTCCGCCTCCTCTTCCTCCTTCGTCTTGTCTTCGAACAGTACGTGCTCCTCCCTGCTCCCTGCTCCCTCCCCTCATCTCTTCATCTCTGCCTGAACACCACTAACCCACTGCGCAGGTGTAGGTCGCGGCCTCGGCCCTCGCGGGGTACAGACGCACCGCCGCCTCCCCCGCGTCCGCGTCGACGCCGGACATGCGCCGCAGCGGGAAGCTCGAAAGGCTGCGTTCTACGCACGACGACGAAGATGAAGGGGACGAGGACGAGGACGAGGGGCGCCCCTCCGGCCTGGGACGTGCTGCGTCCCTCTCCCTTTCGCGTTCGCGCTCGGGGTCGGGGTCAACCTCGTCCTCTCTTACACCTTCCGTGTCGCCCTCGCATGGTCCCCCCCGCCCGCCGCGCCGCGCATTTAGGTCCTCACCCGAAGGGCGACGGAGACGAGTTGATGAGGAGAGTGAAGATGCCGACCAAAGATGGCGGTGGGGCAAGACACGCAGAAGACGCAGAAGACGACATCCGGCCCCGCCTCCCCTCCGCTGCTTCCCCCTCGGGTGTTGGCGGAGGGCGAGCGCTCTGCGTTGTACCGGCGGCGCCCCGCGCGCCCCCACGCGCTCGACGCGCTCCCGCCCACGCTGCGCGCGCTGCTCCTCCCCCCCCCCGGCGTCCTCCCCTCCCCTTTCTCCCTTCCCATTCTCCCACCTCACCTCTTTCTGCCCTCTCAACCCATACGGGAAACGACACCTCCCGCGCGCAGAGCCACGTTTCCACGGCGCGCACCCAAACAGGACTACCCGCGTCCGAGCGCACCTTCCCGCTGCGCGAACGCGTGCGCGGCCGCGCGCTTGTGGCTGCGTGTGTGCGCGCGCTGGCGGGGGCGGATTTCTTTGGGGGGCCGATTTGCGACGGGGCCGGGTGTGGGGGTGCCGGGGGGCTCAGCATGGGAGGAGAAGCGTGGAGGAAGGACGCGCTGGAGCGGAGTCTGCGCGCGCCGCACCTGGCGCGGTATGCAAGGGCGGTCGTGTGTGTGCGGGGTGACCAACGTGGGGCGGGGGCCGGGGGGTGGAGGTGAGTTCTCTTCCTTGTATCGGTGGCGAGGCGCGCGCTTCATTCCCACTTTTACGTATTCTCTCTTTCGTGCTTGCTGCTCCTTCCTCCCTCATCATCCGTCCTCCGGTACCCCTGCGCGCGCTCTCCCTCCGCCCCGCGAATCTTCTCCATTTCCCCACGCGCGCATGTGTGCCCTCCATCCTTTATTCCCTTTATCCATCTGTCCTCCCTCCATCCCCACCGCCGCCGTCTTTCACTGTTTCCGTCTTTTCTCCCCCCTCGTACCCATCCACGCGCGTTATCCAGTCTCAATTATGCACCCTTGCATGGCCTCCTACCGTCTCACTTCTTCCTTCCTGCGCGCCCTCCCTCCCACCCACCATTTATCCACTCCCTCCATCATTTGACGACCCTCCCCACCTCGTCTGCGCCGTCCTCTGTTACTGCTCCCCCCCGTTCCCCCTTCCTCGGTCCCGCGCGCTCCCCTCCCCGCCCTTTCTGGGTCCTCTATTCTGCATCCATCTGCCCTTTCTTCCTTTCTCCCCGACGTAAATGTACACACTCCTGCGCATTCATCACCGCTTGCTCTTTCCCGCGTGGCGTACACACTCCATCCTTCACGATCCCTCCGCGTCTCCAGCTTTCTCCGCCCCCCCATATCCATCACCGCTTGCTGCCCCTCCACGTCCGTCCCCCGTTCTGCGTCCCACCCTCTTCCTCCTTTGCGTACCCTCCACGCCCTTCCCCGCTCTTCCCCTCCTTCCTCCGCGCTCTCCCTCCACGTATCGCTCCGCCCCCGGATCGCACTCCTACACCTATATACATCTCCAATCCATCCTCTCTTCTGCATACGCTCCTTTTGCCTCGTACACGCTTCTTTCACGGCTGCTCGTCGCTCACCCTCCCTCGTCTCGTCCTCCGCTACCAGATTCCTTTTCCATCCATCCATCATCCTCGTTCCGTCCGCGTCCCTCCCTTCTTCCCTTGATTACTTCCGCTCTTTCTCTTTGTTCCCATCCACGCACCCCTACTGCGCGCGTCCCGCACCTTTCTCCCCATCTTCCTCTTCTCTCCTCACCGCCAATCTCCGATCTCAATCCGCTGACTCTCCTTCCATAGATCCACCTCCCCGCCCTATGTACGCTCACCATCTTCCCCGCCCTCACCCCTCGCCCGCCCCCTCTGTCCCTTCCTCTTCCCCCCTCTTCATCCTCGCCCTCGCCTCCAGAAATGCGCGCTCCGCTCGAACCGCGTGCCCTCAATACGCGTGCGCTCCTCGCCTTCCTCCGCGCGCACCCCGCACTCGAGCGCCTCGCCGTCCTCGGCGCGGAGGACGCGGACGACGCAGACGACACGGACGCAGACGACGAGAAGAGCAAGGAGATAGATGCGGAGAAAGACGGAGAGAACGCGTTCCTCCCGCGCCTGACGCACCTGCACGCGCCGCCCGCGCTCGCCGCGCGCATCCTCCCGCGCCTCACGCGCGCTGCGCCTCGCCCTCCCCCTCCCCCCCCACCTCCCGACCGTCCAGCAAACAACAACGCGAACGCCGCCAACACCAACGGCGCGCACAAAGGCCTGAGCGCCGCGGCGTTCGCGCGCCTCGCGCCCGATCCGCATTGGAGTTGGGAGTGGGAGTGGGGAGGGTGGCGCTGCGCGTGCCACGCGTTGCGGTGGCGCCTCCGATGTACGAGGCGGGCGCGGGCGCGGGCGGGGGGCGCGTGGGGCGCGCGGTGGGCGGGGTGTTGGCGCGCGCGTCCGGGAACAGGGAAGGCCGAGAGGAAGAAGGGAAAGGGGACGTCCTCGCGCTACACGTCCTCTTCGGCCCGCGCGTGGAGCGGCGCACGATCGAGAAGGTGCTGCGCACTCTCGGGGCGGGGGTGGGCGAAGGGCTCGCCGCGCAGAATACTGCTACCACGGATGGGACGCGGATAACGAAGGGTGCGGCGGGCCTTACGCTGCTCGAGGTACGCAGCACTGTGCGCGCGGCGGAGGTGCGTTTATTTCCCTCACACGCCTTCTTCTCCTAATTGATCACTGCGTCCTAGCTCTACTAAGCAACTTCGTTCCGTATGACGCGCTCTACCGATTGCCGACCTCCATCTTCCTACTTCTGCGCAGCCCCGCCGTAACCTTGTCTCAACACCGTGCACACGCGTCCCAGAATTTCGTACAGCTGCGTATACACCTACTCCACCATTGTTGACTGTTGTCCTTTCCTCGCAGTCCATTCCAGTCCATAACGTCGCCCACAACGCCACCACAGGCTCTCCTTGCAAGCCGTACAAAGGTCAGTCAACATTACTTCGCGTGTTCTAGCTTCTAATGGAATTTCATCTGTCATGTTAACGCCTACGACAGCCGCGAAGTCTCGGGATTTGCTTTGATTTTTGTCCGTCCATTCCCAGCTACATGTACTGTGGCTCAGCCTGACTCGTCTAGGCCGTAGGTATGTGTTGTACTACTTGTAGGATACATTGTAGATGTGTTTTAATATATTGGATTTTGTACAGTCTCTACGAATTTATTCAGC